AGTGCTAAAGTTTTTTAGAGCAAGGTTAGCTTTGGGAATTATCTGGCCATAAACAAATCACACCTTTTGGGTCTGACATCATCCTGGTTGTGTACTGAATGCCAATTCATACTGGAAGGGAATGGATCTTTTTGAAGAGGTTGTCAGATTTGATGCTGCTTTTTGAGGAGGACTTCAGTCTGAGATGATACAGCAGAAAACATGTCCATTGCAGCCTTTCTGTTAACAAGTCCTTTGCAAGAAGCGTAGTGGGCACCATGTGCCAAAGGGCCTCATTTTAGGAGGAAACCTTTCCAAAGTTTTCCCACCAGTATATAAAAATAAAAGTAACTGCAGGAATATTTATGTGAGTAAGACTGTAACAAAAAGACAAATCTCTGTTATTTCTGTTGGTACAGAAAATAAGGAAAATTTGATCTAAAATACTATGCTTTTTAAAAAAATTTTTATTTTAATATTTTTTGCCATACATTTGAGAGCTGAGTTCTCTCTGTCTGGAAGAAAATTTGTCCCTAAGGTCACTAGGCAGATTTGCTAATACAATTATTAAGTAACCTTAAGGTGCTGGAGCGAGTTTAAGAAAAGCGAAAGCAAAGGAGAGCTTGAAATTTTTATTTGAACATACAAAAAACATTCAAAATATAGCACCAGGTGTCCCTTTTTGCACATTCCAGGAGCACACTACAATGTACAAGATGCAACTTCCTCTGTGTTAGTTTACTTGATTAACGAAAAAAGAGCCAGAATTAACGGTTTGGATTTGGTTAGTCTTTGTGCCACTGCCATGACTGCTTGAGGGTTTTATTTTATTCACAATGTCTTGAGAAGGTGGGTTAATTTGGGGATATATGCAGAGCTATCCATCCTGTCAGATTGTATCATCAGTTTGATTCCTGCAGTTAAGTGAAAATGGGGATCACAAGGGAGGACACGCATTGAGTTGTTAGTATTTGGCTTCAGCAATGACTGGCAGGTGGTGGCCATGTCTTTCAAAGCCATACTGGTGGCCACTTTTCTGCGTGGAAAGAGATGGGATTCCTCTGCTCTTTTGGAGTCCTTCTGCTGGATCAAGGCCAAGGGCACCAGGCAGCAGTGCTGCCTTGAGCTGTGGTTTTTAACAGAGGACTCTCATTGCTCAGAATCATCAATTCTTTGCTAAGTTCTGCCTTTTAATTCCTCTACACTTCTTCAGTTCTTTGTAAATTCTTCCTCTACTAGGCAAGAGTAGGAATTGCTTTGAAACAGTTCACAGTGGAGAA